ACTCCCATGCCAACGGGGATATCAACTACTAGTACCAGAAAAAAACTGATCAGGAAGGACAAAAACGACAAGAAAAAGAAAAAGAAAATAAAAGCCTATCCGAGCCTCTGCCAAAGAAGATTAACCATCATTCACTCATGATAACTTAAACCCTTAACCATATCCATTGTTTAGGAAATAACCTCGGGCTTCTCCTGACCACTGCCCTTGACGGGTCCGGTCTTGTTCTCTTCACCAACTACGCCCACAGGCGCAGCGCCAGGAGCCTCCTCATTGGACTTCTTCTCAGAGGAAGAAGCCGCATCGGGCCCCTTGACACCGAACCTCGAAAGGACCTTATCAAGCCCCGAAGCCACATAACTGCTGCCGCCGCTCTCCTGCTTCTTGAGATCTGCCAACCGCCTAGCCTCATTGTGGATATCCTGGACCTGTCTTGAGCTGGTGGTATAGAAGTCAACCAACTTCTTGCCGGTAGGGGACTGTGACGCCTTCTCAAAGTAGCTGCCCAACCCAGTCAAGAGCGAGTTCGCCCTGGCAGTCAACCCGTAGCTCTGATCAGCGGCGCGCGCCTTGTCAGAGGCATGGGTGCGCTCGTCGAGCTGCTTGACTGTGTTGACAAACTTGGTGGTGACGCCGTGCTTCTCGTCGAGGGCAATGGCGGTTTGGAGACCGGTGTCAGCGACGAGATAGCCGTGCGCGAGGATCTCAGCGAGGATACGAGCGCGGGGCTTCTCTTCCTGGGTGAGGGTGGTGTCGTCGCTTGAGCGGGGGACGTCCTCCTCTGTTGGGGTGGAGGCGCCTTCAGCACCGCTGACTGAGATTTCGTTCTCTCCGAGCTTGGTGTGGTTAAGGAGGAGAGCGGTGCGTGCAGCGGTTTCTTTCTCAAAGGTTACGGTAGCGGTTTTGGAGTTTGTGGAGGAGTCGGTGCTGACGTCGATGGAGGTGATTTTGCCGCTGTTGACGGGGAAAATAATGTTAGAGAGAGAAGAGATTAACTATGGTAAATGAGGATATCTTACCAGAAGCTGAAGAACTCCTTGATCTCCTTGTCGTTGGTGCCAGCGGCGACATTCTTGACGTATACTGTAGTCGCCATTTGATTTGCTTGTGGTAATTAAGATAAGGTAGATAGTCTTGTGCGGGGTTTGTTCAAAGTGTTGTGCTTTTGAAAAGATAACTAAGGTAACGTAGACTGTTGATGGATGGATGTTTTTTGGAAAAGGAGAAAATGAGGTACTTTAAAAAAGGGACCTGATCTGATGTTTTTAAAAGAGTTGCGTCAGGTAGCAGCTGCCAAGATGATGCGTTGATTGCTGGAACGGCCTCGAAGCAGCAAGAGAGGAGGGAGGAAAAAAAGAGGGGCAAAGGGCAGGAAGCTTCGTGGAACGGGGCAATCAAGTGTCGTCATCGGCTGATCGCGGAACTGTTTGAACTGTGGCTGTGCCTGAATTGTAACGCGGCAGATGGAACTGGATGCCTGTCCAGCGCCCAATAACCCCGCTAAAATGTGGCTTGAGACGACTCTGAACAGGGGACTGCCCACGTCATAACCGTTTTTCTTCAGCATGTGAAAGAGGGACATTTGGACAACTTTTTGGCATATGATGTTTTTGGTTGCGTAGACACCAGAAGATATAACGCAATTGAGCAAAGCGAACATGTGCAGTGAATTTATCCGGTGGCTTTTGGAGTTAATATATGATTTATCATTTTTATTTTACCAAAAACCACCGCCGTTATAGCTAGTTTACCGGTGGTGGAAACAGGGCTGGAGGGTCCCAAACTCAATGGTTTTGTCAAGGATGCAGGGTTCATTCACGAATTCCCTCAGCAATACAATGCAATGAATTGATCATGGATTCGATTCCCTTATCTACTAATTATTTATCCCTTTCAATAACTCCAACCCGTGCATATGAAACCAATTGGAAAATAACCCATCACTTATCCGCCTTGTCCTCGTTGCTCGTTTTGATAGTCTTGGCAAACTTCTTGGTGACCTCATCATCAAGAGGACCCTTGGGGTTCGAGGTGAGCTTCTGCAAAAAAATGTGAGCAATTGACTGCGGTGTACTCCGTCCCATATCGTCAAACACCACTAACCTCGAGACCCTTCTTGTTCTCATCGACCTTGCTCATACTCTCACCGATTCCAGTGCCGGATCCGGGGACATCGTGGAGCTGCTTGCCGGACTGTTGCTCGGGAGGAGGTGACTGGGCCATTGTGAGTGTTTTTGGGTGTGTCTGAACTTGTTAGTATTTGTTAAGCCCCCACTGCATCGGAGATTGGTGAACACACACTGAGCTGGCTATTTTGATGAGAACAAATTGTTACAGTTGTAGTTAGAGAAAAGAAAAAGACTTGTAATGGATATCCCTGAAAGCATACTTTATATAGAGGTTCGCTGACTACAGTCAGTTGACATCACTGTGCCTTAAGTTTTCCCGTCTTTCATCTCATCCTTAACAATTACATCATGGCACCCAGACTGGCAAACACACGTCCTGCCGATCGCCCGATGCACCTGCGGGTCAGTGCAGATTGCGGTTTATTAATGGGTTACAGGATCCACTTTTTTCCAAACATTCAGTGGACGGTTTTGGTGATCACAGTGGTCTATGCTTCTGCTGTAGAGTTTCATTGATTTTTTATCAGTCAACAAACATTCGAATGTTTTGTTTCTGGGACACGAGTGTTCCCAGCCTTCATGTTTCATTTTTCCAGAGCTAGTCATCGTTGCACATAGTTTACTGGAGTCATTCTTTTTACAGCATATTTTGGTTTCGGAAAAAGCGCTCAATCGCGACTTCCAACAACCTCGAGATTCCCAGCGGAAGCGGAACACGAGACCTGAGAGACGGCCTTTCCAGCATCTCCATACTTTCTAGCAACTTCATCTCGTCAATCTTCTCAAAACATGGTCACGGGCTCTCAATCTCCATCTATCAACATCCTGCCTTCAAACCAGGAACTCGTCAACAACCCCACCAGCTCGATCGCTTTGCCATCACCCAAGTTTCCACCCATCAGTCACGTCCCAGGGTCCGCGATGGGAGACAACACTGGAGTTGGACAAGGTCCAGGGCCTCAGCGACTGCCTCGCCCTCTCACCGCCAGCGACATTCACTCCCAGCTGGAAAAGGAACAAGAGGCAGTTGTTAACAGACTTACTCGCGAACTTGCCGTGCTACGTGCCGCACATAACGCGTCGGTCGTTTCTACCACATCCTCCACGAGTGCCACTGCCACCGAACTAATTCCTCCTCTCGAGGTCTACCGCGGTCGTCATCAACGTACAGCTTCTAATACCAGCACGCGAAGCAATGTCGGCTCAGTCTCAACCACAGGCATCTCCTCACCCCTCCCGATCCGTACAAATCAAGTTTCGGGCCTACCAGCGACAATTTCCGAGGTCGCCCGGCAACGACGAGCGAGTACTGCTTCTCGACGCAGCAGGGCGGGGTCACCTGCTCCCTTTGAACAACCCGGCTACTTTGGCTCTGTCCCCCGTGCCCCACATTCCACCAGCACGTCGGTCATGGCCACTCCTGGTGACACGGACTCTTCATCCTTCATCTTGCCCGCCACACCCCGAATGGAAGAGGCATTATACTACCGCGAGCAACTAAACAGCGCCAGAGCCGAGAATGAAGCCCTTAAGCAGAGGATAAGGGAGCTCGAAGGCTTAATTCGACAGGAGAGGGAGAGCGACGCCAGCCTTTCCACGTCTGGTACTACCAATGTTCTGCCTGCCGCACGCTCTGGCAGCAGACCTAGGAGCGACAGTGTCAGCACGACGACGAGTGTGGCTGCTAGCGTCGCAAACAGCGCCACTGGAGCTGGTGGTATCAGCGTTGCTGCTCAGAGGGACAGGCCTAGGGTGGTCAGCCAACTTAGCTCGCCGTCCACCGTTGGGTTTGGTGTCCCGGACGATGAGGTTAAAGTTGGAGAGAGTGCGTCTAGCTCGGGTTTGGCAAATCATGGCTCGCAGACATAGAGTACTCCTGAAGAGACATCTGGAGAGAGTGCGTCTAGCTCGGATGAAGAGCCAGCTGATGGAAAGGGGTCAATGGATTCACCACCGGGACTGAGGCTAAAAAGGCGGCCTTCGATATACCTACCATACACTCTTTTGCTGGAACTACACACCAAACCTATACATAAAGATAAGCCCGTTGTACCGATGAAAGAGAGTCCATGGCCAGCGACGTCACTGTATGGAGACTGTAAACATGGGCTTGGGTTTTTATTTTGGCTTTCTTTGAACCCTGAACCGAATTTTCGCACCGAGAAGTCAGATTGGATTCAGTGGAATAAGATAATGAAAAGGAAGAAGGCTATTTTTTGCTACTTTTGTGCCAAGGCTGGTTATGATTCTAGCTTGCTCAGAAGTTCTTGATGGATTTGGTGTTGTGCTGTTTCTTTTTTTTTTACTTTTTGTCTTTTTTTCTCTCTCTTTTGTTCCTTTTTTCCTTGTGTCTTTTTCCCCCTCCTTCAAGGATACATTTGTCTTGTTTCGGAAGAGTGTTTCTTTTTTTCTGAGATCAAGGGGGGCATACAAGAAATGGTTTTTTTTGTTGGAGAGCCCGGGCCGTTAAGTTGGTCATTTTATTGAAGCGAGAATAGGGGGCGATGGATGGCGTATTGGGTATTATTAAAAAAAGAAATTGTGAGTAACTTTAGGAAGTGAGGGAAGCGTCACATTATCAGCCCCCTGAGCGTTGTTGGTTTTTTTGGGTTTTTTTTTGGGGGGTTTTTTTGGGAGGGGGGGGATGAGAGAGATAGTTGAGTATGCTCATACAGCGAAAATAGGAAAGATGAATATTTGACCATTTTTGGGGGGAATATACAGTGAATGGGGTTGGTGATTATTTTCAGAAATAACAGGTGGGTGTGGTGATATTTTGGTATTGCTGGGAACTGGCCGATGGGTGCCATATATGATAATGGATTTGGACTTGGCAAATCAACATGTGGTTTCAACTAGGTTCAAACATCAGGCCGTGTGGCGCAATGGTAGCGCGTTACTTTCCGGTTTGGAGAATGTTGTCAAAAATATTCTCTGGAAATAAGAAATTCTGATTGGTAAAGGTTCTGGGTTCGAGTCCCAGCATGGTCGCAACTTGATTTTTTGCTTGTTACGCTCTGACTGAGAAGATGATGCCCAGGACTGAAGCTATGAATGGGGACGAAAGGAATGAAAAAGGTTCAAACGTCGAATCAATACTGTGTGTGGTTTTATTTTTATTTTTACTTTTTTAGTGTTAACTTCTATTCGTATTTGCTTATCATTATTTCTCACAAAAAACCTGTTCAACTCCAACTCCAACTTTCACTCCATTAACTCCCCCCCTGAAACCTCCTCTAAACTTGCGTATATGTGTGTACCTCTGCGTAAATACCTTGTCCCAGTGCGGTTCATATATCCAACAGTCTTATTTCTCTCCATTTGACTGAGCCTATGTTTTTTTCCTCCGTCTTGTATCTCCAATGACAACGACGAGTAAGAGATCTATTCCCCAAAACAACGGAAAACCCCCGAGTAAAGGAATAAAAAATACTACTAATAATAATGATCATATAAAAAGATATCGAAAAAAGTAAATGACGAAAAAATCACTTGCGTTATATCATGCGTGTGGAGTCTTCATGCGTATACACAAAATCTCGTTGCACGTACATGTTGATGGATCCCATCAACAATGTTTTTAACGCTTATTGTAGTTCAAGAATCGGGACTGTCGAAACAAAGTCAGCATCAGAATTTGGGTTCCAAAAGGATAGGGGAGTAAAAAAGAAAAACTCACAGCAACAAACAAAATAGCCAAATTAGACGCAATAAACGCCACAAAAATCCCCAAATCCCTCCACCTCTCCCCATAACTAAAACCCAAAGGCTCAAAAAACTCATTGCCAACCTTGAAAGCGCAATACTCGCAATCCCCTCCAACCTGCGTCTCGTTCACCAAATATCCCTTCCCGCCGTTGTCAAAAAACGTCTGCATATAATCCCCGCAGCTCTGTCCGATCGGCGCCACAAATTTGGACAATTCTTCTTTCGTACAAACAACAGGAAGTTGATGCAGCGCAGTAACCACCGTTCCGCCAATAAGACGAGTGAACGGATTAAGTTCGTACAGCCACGTTCTGTATCCTGCTGGCATCTGCGGAGGCGGAATAGTGACACCGCAGAACAGAGCAAAAGTAACAAAGATGAAGGGATCAAACTGCGACGAAATAAAAAGTGAAGGAGTCAGCGCAGAAAGAGCTTGGCCTAGCGTAACGGAAAATATCTCCGTGATGAGGATCATAAAGAATTGATAGCCTGCTCGAGAGGACTCGTTTTGGAGTCCGGGGAGGTAATAAAGCGGGACGAAGAACATGACTGCGCATAAGATGCTATAAGGAATCTCTGCAACAAAAAGAGACGAAGCAAAGACGAAGGAGCTGTACATCTTTGAGGATTGTTCCCTAAAGAATAACGAGCGCTTCATGTGGTACATTACTTCGATTTGGGAAATGATCAAGGCTGGCAAAACGGTGACTTGAAACATGACAAAGACTCGGTATTGAAGAGATGAGAGCGAGGAGTTTAGGTTGAGGAAAGTGAGACCGGTGAGGAGGGCGATGACAAAGTGATTGAAGACGCGGGTGAAGAGGTAGTTGGGTGTGCGCCAATGCGAGAGGTTGGCTCTGCGGATCACGACGCTAAGTTGGTGTGACAAGGGAGAGGCGTATTCCTTCTCGAGATGGGGAGTGAGTGCAGAGTTTGACGAGACGCGAGAGGATTTGAGCTGGGAAATGGTGTCCTTGATGTTGGCTAGTTCTGGAGAGTCGGCCCAGATATCTGCCCAATCACGGTTACCGATGCGAGGAGCGGAACCGGCGCCGATGGCTTCGAGCATGAATTCTGCTACGTTGTCTGTGTCTTTGGCTACGGCGCCGTGGCGTTTGAGATAGTCACGCAGGACGTGAGCGTCCTTGCCAATGTCTCCAAAGTAGACGCATCTACCGCCGGACTTGAGGAGAAGCAGGCGATCAAAGTTCTCAAACAGGGCGGCGTTGGGCTGATGGATGGTGCAAAGAATTGCTTGGCCTGCGGCGGCGAGTTTGCGGAGGAAGCGAACGATATTGAAAGCTGATTGAGAATCCAGACCGGAGGTAGGTTCATCCAAGAAAAGAAGGAGTTCTGGTTTAGCTGCCAGCTCGACACCGATTGTAACTCGCTTACGTTGTTCGACTGTGAGACCGGCTTCAGGGGATCCAATGATTGCGTCCGCAAAGGTTTCCATTTCCAAAAGGGCGATAATCTCCTCCACGTAGGAGTACTTTTCGGATTGAGGCGTCTCAAATGGTTGACGGAGATCGGCAGAGAAACGGAGGGCCTCGCGGACAGTCTGGGTTGGCTCATGGACGTCGAGCTGTTCTGCGTAGGAAGTGCTGCGTTGGAATTCCTTGCCAGGTTTGACGCCGTCAACGAGAATGTCGCCAGAGATTACACCAATGTTCTTGCGAGCGGCCAACACGTCGAGTAGGGTGGTCTTTCCGGCTCCGGAAGCACCCATAAGCGCTGTGAGCTGACCGGGTTTGACGTATCCAAAAACGTTATCCAACAGGCGACGGGTACCACCGGGAACGGGGACTTCATAACAAAGATTTTCCCAGGTGAGGACGCTTTCCGATTTGATCTTGAGTTCAGAGTCAGATTGCTCGGCGCGAGCCTTGCGACGTTCGTCCTTTTTGCGGATCAAATCCTCGTTCAGCTTCTTGCGTTCGGCGTTGGGCTTCTGGAAGACCTTGGCTTGGTTGCCACCCATGCCGAAACGGACGTACTCGCCAGCAACCACGTTGACGAAGAGGAAAAAGGCAATAAGAACAACGACGATACCCCAGTTGCGCCAGAGGAGACCCGGACTGTAGGAGAATCCTTGATCGATGTAGGCGGAGCCGGAGATCTGGAGGGTGCCGGGAGTCGAACCGGGAAGAGTGCAGACCTGGTGGTTGATGTCGTCGTATCCCGGTCCGGAGGGGACCAGAGACTCGGCGGTGCATGTCATGTCAATTCTGGAAAACTCATTCTCCATCAAGGCGCTGAAGGACAGACCCAGCACGTTGATGTAATAAATCCAGCGCAGCCACACTTGCTCGTTCTGATACTGAATCAAATAGCCAGAAGTTGTAATCATCAACGTGATACCCACGGTAGCAAACTTGACGGCATAGTCGAAATCAGGACTCAAACAACCAATGACTCTGAAGAACAGCGTCATTGCAATGTTTGCACTCAACAGCATGAGGTAAAACACAAAGAAACCCCCAGCGCTCCTCGAGAGGTTCGTCATGAAGTAAACAATAACCGAAAAGACAAATACCTGAGTGGAAGCAAACACCTGATCAACCAAAATGTTGGCAATCCACAATGCCGATGGTCGATGGAAGGCATACGCCCGATGTTTGTTGACCACAGCTCTGCCCAACATTGTGCCTGCGAGCTCCGAGAAGCTTTGGAAGGCATTGTGCAAGAGCGCAATAAACATCAGACCACCCTTGCTGAAAGCGCTGGCCGAGGTCTTGCCGAGATTTAGATAGAGAGTACCGAGGACAATACCGATGATGATGTTTCTGAGCCAGGACAGGATCAACGCCAGAACGTCCTGCTTCTTTAGCAGGAATTGGCGCTTAGCGAGAGCCCAGACTTGGTGATGGAATCCAACAGAGTATGCAGAGCACTTGCCGGCACCACGACGCTTCTGTTCCCTGACGGCAAGGCGGAAGTCCTCGTGCTTCCCAGTTTCCTCTTCCAATTCCCGCTTGTACTCTGCCATTTCGTTTTCCAAATCCTTGGCGAACTTGGACTCTCTAAACGCCGCCTCAAGGGATGTGGCATCGTGTGGCGCATTCTCAGGTGAGAAGCCCTCCTGATACTCCCTCTCGAAGGCATCAGTGCATCCAGTAACGTAATCAGGCGTGGTCTGTCTCGGTCTTGGAAGGAATCCCAGTCCCTCGAAGTAACCACGAGCTTCGGAAGCGGGACCAAAGTAAACCTGCTTGCCCTCATCGATGACGAGGACTTTATCGAACAGGCTGTAAATATTCTCGGAAGCCTGGTAAAGCGAGACGAAAGTGCTGGTTTTGTACAAATCGGTCTGAATGCGGAGAGACTTGACGAAATCCAAAGCAGTCGAAGCGTCCAAGCCGCGAGTCGAGTTATCCCAAGAAAGAATGCAGGCATTGGTGGTAAGCATCTCGGCAATCGACACTCTCTTCCTCTCACCACCCGAAACACCACGAACAAACGGATTACCGACGATGGTGTTTCTCGTGTGTTCAATGTTGAACATCTTGAGCAACAAGGTCACGACCTTCTCCTTGAACTGCGCCTTTGTCATACCCGCAGGCAATTTTCCGGGAGTCTTGACATCCAAAGCGAACCCCAAGGTCTGCTCGACAGTCAAAGTAGGATGATGCACATCGTCCTCCTCATTATACACTGCTTCTCCCCTGTACGGTCCAAACTCTTCAACTGTGAACGGGCCGTAGCGAACATCTCCAGTAATGGAAGTATACCCATAACGCTGATTGGCGATAGTCTTGAGGAAGGTGGTACATCCCGATCCCGGTTTACCGAGAACCAAAACCATCTCGCCCGGCTTGCAAACACCCTTGAAGTTGTCGAGGAGAGTGGCTTCAACACCCTTCTTGCCGAAACCGAGAGCATTCTTGATTGGAGTTACGTAGTCGAAAAAGTCAACAAAAGCATCGGGAAAGGTCTTGACGTAGTTGGTTTGACCGCCGATACCCTTGACGGTGAGTCCATCCCAGCAGACGCCGATGTGCTTGGGACGAATACCGGCCTCTCTCTCTGCGTCCAAGTCACCACGCAGTGCTGCTTCCAGATCGAATTGCTCTTCAGTGCCGTCTAGGTCCTCGGATGATGATGAGTTTTTGGCTTGTCCTTTTTCGGCATCTCCGTGAGAGCGAGCATGGCTGGCGCGGCGGGAAATACGGGAGAGTTCTCGTTGGAGTTGGGCAAAATCCGCTTCGGCCTGGTTGATTGAGACGCCCGTTGGACGACTGGTGCCGTTGGGGTTGTTTTGGCGGGCTTCCTCTAGGAGATCT